CGAGGTTACTAAATGGAAGAAGAAGTACTGGCAGACCAAGAAAAATTTGGTAAGATAATATAAGCAATTTAGAAGGCTAATATTAAAGAAAGATGTTATAAAAACAATAGAGAACATTTACCAGAACAACAATATAGAAGTCAGAATAGATGATCAGCTTACAGATCCAATAGATATGGGCAATGGAATAAGACAAGGAGACTCGCTTAGTCCAACGCTATTCAATCTAATCATGGATGAAATCATCAATACTAATAATAAAGAAAGAGGATACAAACCCATAGATTCAACACAAGGGCAAAGGACTTTAATATGGTGATCTCTACACAGAAAACTAAAACAATTGTAATCAGTAAAGAACCAATTAGATGTAAACTGGAAATCGACGGTATCAGCATTGAGCAAGTAATGGAGACAAATTATCTAGGAATTACACTGTCTAGCTACGGAGATGTGGAGAAGAAAGTGAACAATCAAGTACAAAAGGCTAATAAAATAGCAGGTTGTCTTAATAACACGATATGGCGCAATCCCCACATTAATACCGACGTGAAATCAAGAATCTACAAAGCAACAATAAGACCAATAATGACATACACTTCAAAGACAAGACCGGATACCTCCAAAACTCAGCAACTACTAGCAACAGCGGAGATGCGTTTACTGAGGAGAATTACAGGAAACACACTGAGGGATCGAATGCAGAGTGAAGAGATCAGAAGAAAATGCAATATACCAGAAATAAATGAGTGGACACTGAACAGAAAAAAGGAATGGAACGAACACATGAACAGAATGGAAGAGACCCGATTAGTCAGAATAGCGAGGGACAAATCACCAAAAGGTAGAAGAAGTATCGGGCGACCACGCAAAAGATGGAGTGATAACCTCCAATAGAGGCATTAATCGACATTGAACAAGCATTTTGCTTATAAAAAAGAAGAAGAAGAAGAATATTGAAGAAGAAACAGGCTTTAAAACTTACATACAAAAAGGGAGAAAAAGAATGTTGGACCAGTCCTCTACCTAAGATTAGTCAGCCAAGATATACGCCTACGTCCAGGACCACTCTTACCCTCAATCTTCCCTTGTAGAATCAACTGTAAAAGTCAGCATTTATTATTACGCATGATGTGACCAAAGAAAGCTAATTTTCTGTTCTTTTCGGTGTTCTTTGTCTTTTATAGTATAATAATTTCTTTGTCTTTTCTTAGCCTCTAGACTGGTTATATTACTTGTGTTGTGTGTATATGAGACCCTCAATATACATCGGTAGCACCACATTCCAAATGCCTCTAATCGTTTTGTGGCATCTTCTGTAAGGCACCAACTTTATACTCCATAGAGGAGGACGCTAAAGACGTAACATCTAAGGATTGTTATGCATATTTTGATACATAAGATAAGTTGCAGAGAATCTTACTAAAGCTGTCGAAAGACCTTCTGGATTTTTTAATACGAGTTTTTATTATATAGGTTTCATCCCAAGTATCCTTAATATTGCAGCCCAAATAGCATATATTTCCTACTCTTTCTAACGGTGTATCGTTAATTATAATTTGGGAGTTTGTGTCGGTGTTCTTATTTGTTACATGCTTCTACAACGTTATTCATTATCCTTTGGAGCCCCTGCGCACTATCTGCTAGCAACACTATAGTCTGCATATCTAATATTGTTTATAAGTTGGTCATTTACAGCAATCCCATCTTCTGATGTGTCCAAGGCCTCTATAAAGATGTTTTTCGATGCTAAATAATGCTGGTGACAATATGCAACCCTGTCTAACTCCGTTTTTGAGTGTAAAGATACCGAATAAAAATACTACGCGGCATAAGTTAGGGATATTGCAAATATAATTTTAATGGTACTTTATTTTGCATCAAGTATTTGTAAGTAAACAATTAAAAATTATTATATTTTTTAAAAAACAAGAAAATTTGAGACCTTATAAAGAGAATCAAAGACAAAGGTCATTTAAAAGTGACCTTTATTTTCTCGAACGAGATAAACAAAATTAATTGTTTAAAAACTACTTGACCAATTTTGCCCAAGTTTTGCAACTGTAGTAACTACATAAAAACTCACATCATAAAATGTGATTTAAATGTTATTATTGTTTATTTTAGTAATAAACAACTTAAAAAAACACGTTTACTTGCGGGTTTCATTTGCAATAACTTTTGTTTTTATAAACATTTGTTTAAATAAGAAATTCAGTCACTTCTTTTGGATTAATGTCATGACGCAGTAAAAGTTTCGATAGCTATAGTGTATTTTTATGTATGAGAGAGTAATAAAACAATAAATTATGTATGCAAATCCCTAAACTGTTGATACGGGTGACTCAATGAAAAACAGATATTTGTCAACAAGTTTACAGAAGTATATAGGAAAACAATTTTAAATTGAGTATGACCACCAGGTATAAAGGTTGGAGCAGAATAGAATACAATAGTTGTGAGGGTTACTAATCCCTAAATAAGGTTGCCAGTGTCGGAGTGATGGAGGTTAACAGGTACTAATGAATTTGCAAGAAATGTAAGATGTTTATTTTATTGGTTATATATAACCAATAAAAGTTTAATAAGTACCTACCTATTTGCAAAATAAAGTTTAATTCTTTAGATAAAATAAAACGTTTTATTTTATCTGAAATGAGTGCATTCCACGAAGTAAGGGTTTCAACAATCAAACATTTAATTCTTTAATTCCAGGAATCTACGACAGTAATTGACTAGATAATTACCTTCTAAACTTATTCCACAGAAAATGTGATAGTGGGTTTTTCCATTTTGTAGGAAGGTCCAAGTGGCGTATTCAAAATTCTTAACAGTTCACTAAAAGTAGGTACTTCAGTTGCAAGGTGCAGTTTATTGTGTATACTAGTGTTATGGAAAATTTGGAAGTGCCGTGTAAACGCCGAAAAATTGGTCCTTTAACAGTTAATGAAAAAACATTAATATTTAATTGTTTTAAATCATTTACAGACAAACGTTTATGTGAAAGTGTTGATGAGACCGTTGAGTTAGTTAGCAGTACACTTGGTGTTGGGAAATCTACGATTTACAGAGTTATTAAAGAAGAGAAATGTGGTAGTTTTCAAATGCCACGTAATGCTCCAGGGAAACCAAAATTTCAAATAGAATATCATTTTAAAGAAGGACTTCGACGGAAAGTGCATGAATTCTTCTTTAGACAAGAATTTCCAACATTGGATAAAGTTCTTGTCTCAGTTCGAGATGATAAGGATTACCCAGAAATGAGTCGAAGTACGTTATGGAAACTTTTAAAAGAAATAGGCTTCCGCTGGAAAAAGAATCCCAGAAAGTCTATTTTATTAGAAAGAAGCGATATTGTCATATGGAGAAGACATTTTCTAAGAACCATAAAGGAAATGAGAAACCAAAAAAGAAAAATATTTTATCTTGATGAAACATGGATCAACGAGGGTCATACACCAAATAAATTTTGGCAGGATGAAACTGTTACAAGTCAAAGGCACGCTTTTGTAAATAACTTATCTACTGGTTTAAACCCACCATCAGGAAAGGGACGCAGGCTGATAATAGTACACATTGGCAGTTCAGACGGTTTTGTTGAAGGTGGTTTATTAACTTTTGAATCAACTCGTACCGGTGACTACCATGAAGACATGAACGCTGATGTCTTTCAAGAATGGTTCGAACAAATGATAGATCTTCTTCCTAAGAACTGTGTAATAGTAATGGATAATGCAAGTTATCACTCCAGACTTATAGAAGGACTGCCCACAACCAAGTGGTTAAAAAAAGACTTGCAGAATTGGCTGAGTTCAAAAAATATTACGTACCATCCCGGATCTATAAGAAAGGAACTTTATTCGTTGTGTGCCCTTCATAAAGAAAAATTTAAAAAATACGAAATTGATGAAATTGCCAAAAATCGTGGAATGACAGTACTTAGATCCCCACCATATCATTGTGAATTAAACCCGATTGAACTGGTATGGGCACAGATAAAGAGTGAAGTTTCAAGAAAAAATACCACTTTTAAAATTCATGATGTTAAACAGTTGTTTTTGGAGGCCGTAAATAATGTAAAACCTGAAAACTGGGAAAAGGCAGTAAATCACACTATTAAAGAAGAGGAAAAAATGTGGAAGCTGGACAATATTACTGATAAAATGATCGAGCCAGTTATTATAAATCTTGGTTCTGAAAGTTCATCTTCTGAATCTGATTTGGATTTGTAACAAGTAGCTGTAAGTTTTATATTAATATTTTTATTCATCTATTTAACATACCTTAGACGGTTTTAAAAACTCTTTTTCTCTTTTGTAATTTTTAAAAATTAAAAAAAATGTGAATTTTTTAAAACCCTTTTTAATGTAGGCCAGTCAGTTCTAATATAGTGTGTGATAAAAGAGGTCACTTTTGTTTACATACACATAACACTTTATAACACTGAAATAATTCATTTATTTTTTACAATTATTCAAAGTAATTTTTCAATTAATCTTGAGCACGCCCATGGAGTGGTCGGAGGTACCAGTTAAAATTATGCTAATTACTCTCTCGTTCATAAAATAAACTATAACAGATATATTTTCTGTTGACATTCCCCAGATATTCTAGTTAAAAAATAGCGCCCAGTAAATTTTCGATTTTTCAAGTGATTTTTCGGGTTCGCTTCATGGTGTAATAAGAATTGTTGTATTATTATTTATTTAATATTTAGCTATATACCTAATTTATACCTCACAGTTTATATTAGAAAATATGCATATTAATATTAAATAAAAGAACTTATTTTTTGATGTGTAATTCTAATTATTTCCATTGTCATTTCTGATTGGAAATTTTTAAAAGCAAATTATAGTGTTTAAATAAGAGCAATAAATAAAAAGACTTACAAAAGATTTACTTATGAGTAAGTTTTTTTTTAAATTTATTTCTTTTTACCTAAACTGAAATGTATTCACATAGATAACACATTCATTATTATTATATTTGCTTTTTAGTGTCAAAAGAGAGGTCTGGAAGACTACGTTGAAGTTGGAGGATCAATAGGTTTGGATAACAAATACCTTCAAGTCGCTGACTCATTGTGCGGCCTTAATTCTAAACCAGGTAAAAACTATTTATTTATGGACAAAGTTAAATGAGTCATGTCTACATAGAAAAATAATAGTTGTATTATTTCACAGTATGATTACATACTTCCAACTATACAAACACTCTATATTTCTTGATGCTACACTGCAAAATTAGTCATTACCATTTTTAAACCTACTCAATTATATAACAATATAATTTCTTAATTTTATGATAATTTACAAGCAACTATTTTTACATACTTATATAAGACACTTTCTTCTTCTTTGAGTGACTTTCCTATCGAAGATTGGATATCATTATGGCGATTCTATGCTGTTTTGAATAATTCGTTAGTAGTACAGCCAAACCACTCTCTTAAATTTCTCATCCAGGACATTCTTCTACGGCCTGGATTTCTGCGTCCTTGGATCTTTCCTTGCATTATATTTTGTAGGAACGTGTACTTTTGTCCTCTCATCAGGTGGCCTAAGATAAGACACGCGAAAACACAATTTCATAGTGAAGAATGTAATGAAATTGAACATTACGAAAAGAAACACGATACATTTCATCTGCACAAGAAATTAAAAGAGGTCACTGGAAACGAAAACAAGTATCTTACAGTTTAGAAGACAGAAACGGACACAGAATATTAGACATCAATGAACAGTTAAAAGAATGGGAAAACACCATTTCTGAATAATTTGAAGATGAGAGAGTAGAACACTATACACCGATTGGTATATCAGGTCCATCTATATACCAATCTGGGTTGACAGAGTTAGAAATGAAGAGGTCCTGAGACGGCTGAACCAAACAACACAACTGGTCAATATAATAAAGAAACGCAAGCTGGAATACTTCGGTCACATTATGAGACAGAAAATATATGATCTTTTACATCTGATCATTCACGGAAATATCCAAGGTAATCGTGGTCCTGGTAGAAGAAGATCATGAATGAAAAATCTAAGGCATTGGTATGGAAAATCAAGTACATCGTTATTTTGAGCTACTGTCAATAAAATCACGATAGCGAATATATGGTAGCCAACATAATATCCAACGATCGATAACAGTCATGAAAATAGAAGACGAAGAAATCACAAAGCACAGTTAAAAACTATCCTCCTGACTGTCTATATTACAGGAGTTACACATAATTGTAGTAAGTAAATGGTTTTTTGCAAGTAAAAGAATCACACATAACGCATTTCATAGATGTCTTTGTCCTTTTTTTTTCGCATTACAAGAACTCCACGTCTTGGAAGACGAACTATTTTCCCGTGGTCATTTACAGTTTGTCCAGATCTGACTTTTAGAAATATGCCAACATCTAAGTGTAAATTGGTTAGCTGAGCCCTTGAAACAAGGTGGTCTTTCATTAGACTCAGCGACAAGTGGGCCGATGCTTCAGGTAAAGGCTGACGCTTTCGTTGTAATTTTGAAGAAGGATTTTAAGTGTAATGCTTCCTGGGATCAATGTTTCCTAGGTCGCCACAATATTATCCATGGAAAAATTTCAGGTGAGTCAGCAGTTGTTGACAGATAAATTACAAATGACTCTGTTGAAAATGTATGGTCTACACTCAGTTCCGGCTATAGCAATGATGAAATTTTTAATACGACGAGATGGGGCTATTTTTTAGACTGACACCTGATCACACGTTAAAGTTTAAAGGGAGACATGTTCCGATGGTAAACCCCCAAAAGAGCGAGTTTAAGTTCTTGTTGCAGCCAACATGTCTGGTTTCATAAAAAGGAAGCTTTTGGTGATAGGAAAAAGTAAAATGCCGCGCTGTTCTAAAAATGTGAAAAATCTCCCTGTTGATTAAGATTTCAATAAAAAAGCCTAGATGACGTCGGCTATTTTTGAAAAGACTTAAATAAAATGGGACAGTGAATTTTTACAACAAAAGAAACACATAATTGTAATTGTCGACAACTGTCCGTCCGACCCCCCAGTTGACAGGTAAAAACAAATTAAACTGGTTTTTCTGCCTCCAAATTGTACGTCCGTACTGCAGCCCATGGGCCAAGTAGTTGGTCCATGGACATGGAAAAAACTTATCGAAAAGAGAGAGAATAACGACGATACGAAAGTCACTATTCTTGACGCTACACTAATGATACCAAAGGCATGGGAATCTGTGCAGAAGGAAACGATCATCAACTGTTTTCGTTTTTCCGGCCTAACTAACGACTTACAACCATCAGAAATCGCATACAACGATATTGCACAAACGCATTTGTAGGATGCCGTTTTCAATCTCAGTCCTGACTGCTCTGCAGATGACTATGTACGAGTGAGTTACCAAACTAATGACAAAGTACTGATGAGGCTGATGAAGAATTGGAAGATTTAGGCAAAATCCCTACTGTTGCTGAAGCGTATGCTGCTTGTTCCACCATAAGAGCGTTTATTCAGACTGCTGAAACTTTCCAGAGTGTCAAAGGATCATTATCGATTGTTTCCACATCAATTGAAAAAATGTTTTTTCAGAAGTTCATGGAAGGTGACAAACAAAAATTACAGTCTTTTTTCATTAAATATTCAGATAAAATGTTGGATTTACATATTTTGTAATACATAAATGTATGTATTTTTCTTTGTCTTTTTAAAAATAAATAGTATATGTATGCCTACATTTGTATAATACAAAGATTTTAAGAAGCTGTTATATTATAAGTATACTTGATTGATTACTTATACTTATTTCAATACATATTATACATGTATGTGTGTAAAGATGTTTCAGAATCTCGTGGACCTCGTAAATACGCATGCCCGAAAAAATAAATGGATCCTAAAAACATGCACCATTTTAATTTCATAAGAAATTGGGCGACAGGGTAGGATTTGCACGTGCTAATAATGTCGAGTATTTCCAATAAACATGACATATTATGTTTCTCTAATCTTAAACATTCCAGTTAGTCATCGTATTTTTATTTTAGCTATAAAAATTTACGACTTCCCATCTTCACAGCCGATAAGAATTGCTGTGTAAACATGTAAAATATTTACATTGCACTAATTTGGCTTGTAAATAAACCTTTTAAGAATTGAAAAAAATCTAGAGCACAAATAAATAAATAACAAATAAATGTATGATAGAAAAATAATAGGATTTTGGATTTAAATTCAGCAAAATATGTTTATATACGAGACGAAAACAACAAATTCCTTGGGAAAAATATTCGCATGAGATTTTTTGCCGCATGAAATTTTTTGCATAATCACTTTCATAAAAACTGCAGAATAATGTTCAAGATGTCGCCCATATAAAAAGTGGTCCTAATTTATTGAATAGTTTTGTATAAATTCATTTTTACATTGGGATAAGGGCCTCAAACAACTAAAAACAATGTTTTAAAATCAAATAAGCCCAAACTAAAGTATCAGGAACTGATAAAACAAGGTTTGGTGAATTCAAAAATAATTGTGTTTTAGAGCCTCAAAAATCATGATTTTTCGTTTTTGTTTTCAGTTTTAAATTGTTTAAGTTGAAAACGATCAACTTTAGAGAAAAATTACAATTAACCTTTTTTATTGAGAATGATCCAAAATCTGTGTAATTAAATTGTCTGCGTATTTAAATTAAATGTACACTACCTTCAATAATGAAGGTTATATCTCTCTTCTTCTTTCTTCAGCGCGCTGGACTGAAAACTGGAATTTCGTTCTTGCACTTGGATGGAGGGTGATAAACTATTTACTTTTATGGGGTTATATGACACTCTCTAGATGGTACTGATATTATATACTCAATTTGACTGTGCAACCGGAATAGTCTCTAAGTATTTAAGAATATTAATGCGGCATCTACATGGAGACGGAGTGTTAGGTTACGCACGATAAGACACACACACATACACGTTAATTAAAACTAAATAAGAAATGAAATAATTAATAAAATGTTAAAAGAACTAAAAAATATACATGGAGGGACGGAATACCGAGCTTGCCACCTTGATAAGTTTGTATTCATAGGTCATTGTTGTAGCCGTCGTCGTCGTCGCTATCAGAGAGTTCTGTTTCAGATGATTCGCTATCATCATCTAAATTTATAATGATCTCATGCGCTTCATCCAGAATGTATTCTCGGCTGAAGTACTCTTCTTCTACTTTATCAACATGCCTGCAAGTATTTGCCCATATTTCTGGCGTGATTTCATTTAGCCTAATTTTTGCTAGTTCTAAAACATCTGCTAATTTAAAAGTCGTGTTTCTTGCTGCAACTTCATTTTTTAAAATGGCCCATATCTTTTCAATTGGGTTAAGTTCCGGATGATATGGTGGTAAACGTAAAACCGAGTGGCCGTGCTGTGCTAATAATTGGTCTACAGCATATACTGGGCTTTTAGGTTTAGCAATGAGTATCTTACTGTAGAGCTTGTTTTGTTTCGCTTTCATCGAAAAATATATTTCTTTTTGTCAACCATTTTTTTATGATTTTTTTTTTTTCGAAGCCGATGTATAAGATTTTTCAAGAGTCACATTATGATATGAGGCGTTGTCTATTACTAAAACTGACTTGGAAGGTAAATTGGGAAGAAGTTTGTCTTTCAACCACTTCATATAATTCTGGTGATTCATGTCATCATGATAATCACCAGTTTTTTGTCCGGATTTGAAAATGAAAGCGGCATTTTCGACAAATCCATTTTTACCACCACAATGTAAGATGATCAGTCGTTGCCCTTTAGATACCGGAGATGTTATGTACTTGTTTCGTCCATCATCCCAACCTTTTGGAACTGTGTGGGAACTATGTATATAAGTTTCGTCACTATATACAATATTTCTATCTAAAAAAAATTGTGAATTACTTTAAAATTAGTTATAATGTAAATAAATAAATATCTTACTTTCAGATTTGTATTTTTTCAGTTTTCTTAGAAATTCTGTTTATTTGGCTCTTATGTCAGTTTTTTCAATTAAAATTTTTCTATTGTCTTCCACTTTTCTCCACCTAAATCCTAATTTTTTCACAATTTTTCTGAAAGAAGATAGTTTACCAGTTACAATT